AAAAAAAAAACGTAACATACCAACTAAAGCTAATATGACTGTGAGCAAAGGTGCCGCTGGAAAAACGAGGGGCTGATTGAGCTCGAACATATGCAATAAATCAACTATGAATAAGAAAATTTGGTGATGTGAGAATCGAAGCAGCATTGATATGGCGAATGTCTGAAAAAATGAACAACTCTTAAACGTAAGTAAATAAGCGTTTGAGATAGCAAACAAAATAAATCATGGCTCCTTGATTTTTTAATATCACCTTTAATGCTTCTTGGAAAGTTACTAAGTAGAGCTCCTCTTTACAACATTTTTAAAGCTTATTGGAAAACTATAGTGAAAACTCTCACGAAAAATGGGCTTCAGATGAGCTCAACTCTCTCAATACTTCCTGGTTTTCGAATGAAAATAGAATGATAGGCAAAAAATGAAGATAAACAAATGGAATATTCGTAGTTGCAGACTCAGGATACTTCAATGAAGACTTTTTCTTTTTTTTATAATTATTTGTGAAAGAGCACAAATAATATTGAATACTATAATGTAATAATAATAATACTTACGAATATCAGCATTACGATTGCTGCAGTAATGTAGCTGGTCTTGGACATCATGAATGAAACGAAATGGAAATGTTCATTAGTGGACAAATCATGAAGATATCCAAGCCCAGCAGCATCTGAAAAAGGTTCCCATTCAGATCAGACTATTGTTAGTGGACGTTGAAGGAAATGCAAAACGGAAATACCACAAGAAAACAGGTTTAACTATAGCAGATGTGAAATGACAGCAATCATAGTTTTCTACAAATTGGATAGCCAACAGGTAATTGGGAAGCACTGTGGGAAAGAAAAGCAAGGAAAAAGAAGGTTGAAGGTATTACTTCTCAAAAACGCACCATCCTCAGACGAATTTTGTGCGAGAGCACGCAGACTCGCCATTACAACGTCTTCAAACCCAACTACAGCCCGCATGACGCGGCGAGAAAAAGTATCACCGAAGCATTCCGAATCAGCATCAACCTTCAAACAAGTACTTTTGCGTCGTTTAAGGAAATTAAACTTGCTCTACAAAAAAGACAAGCACCCACCCTAGCCCATAGCGTTGTAATATTGTGCTTGTGACGAAAAGAAACCGGAAGGCGCAAGATGCCATACAACAATGAGTACTCCACCCGATATTCATAGCGAAATGCATCTTCCGGCTCTGAATTGTAGAAACTAATTAGTTATAAGATACTATGCGATCGAGATGAGGCACAAAACGAGCTATACCCGCATAAGCGACTGCTGTGAAGTTCACCTTTACCTCTTACGAAAAAGCTTATTACACCCACTCAAATATGAGCTCAGTTTTGAAGGTGTAATAAGTAGTACTATACTATATATACTATGTATATATAATATATATATACTATACTATATATACTATGTATACTTAAGTGTAGTGTGGTCGAAAAAAAGGAAAAAGCAAGCGTTCCTAGGTAGAGTTCTCCCAAAGTTTTATTCCCAAAAACACGAAAATGATTAAAAAAAAGCAGGACAGTCTTCACCTTTCGACCCACTATTGAACAGATGGAAACGTCGGCCAAAGGGTTGTCTAATAGAACTCACTGAAATGCCTTCGGAAATGCTCGCTGAACGCCGTTTCTGCATCAGCCTCTACCTCGTATAAACTTTCTCCATACTCGCCATCGACATCCTCCTGAGGAAGAATGACAGAGTACAATGAAGTATTTTTTGTAAGGAAAGCATACTGTTGAGTCTGCGTAGTCAAGTGTGTCATCATTATTCAGAAGCAGTTCTGTCGGTACGCGTAGGAAATAGCTTAGAAGGCTCGATCCAGTATGAGATTCACGTTCAGCGGGCTGAAAATTTTTTACAGTGATCTTCTACTCTACATAGTAAGGACAAGCAATAGAATACCTCATGCTTCAACTTTTGTAGGTTCTTGCCGCGTCCTTCCCGCACTTCCGCAGGCATAGCTTGAGGTCCATATCGCAATACATCAGCCGGATTAAAAGTACACTTCATCTGACTGCGTTCGGTTTCTGAAATAGCAAATCAAAAATTTCTCACCATGCTTGTCCATTAAGGCGAACCTTGGCCAGAAGAAACTTAAATAACAGAAGAATCTAATTACTTACTATACCAATTGATCCAATTCTCTTTATATTCCAGTGTGCGAAGATTGTGCACCACTTCAAGTCGTACAACTCCT